AGAATGAATAAGGAATTATGGAGCCAAAAAATCAAACGCGTATTAGACCAAATAGGGCTGGGATACCTCTGGACAAAAGCACATGAAAATGACATAGGAATCTTGAACATTATCAAACAAAGACTGAAAGACATCGAATTACAAAGATGGTTAAGTGACGTAAACAATGACGTAAGAAAAGACGCCAATCAAAAGAACAAACTAAGAACCTTCCGAAAATTTAAAACAATAGAAAATTATAAATGTGAAGAATATCTCCGTCAGGTCACCAACGTCCAACACCGGATAACTCTAACTAAACTCCGTCTAAGTAATCACAAATTGGCGATAGAGACAGGTCGCGGTATGTAAGACATTATAAGAAACCGTCTTGTCTTGTCTTGTTTAAAATATGTCATTACGCTCGACGAAGTAGTAAATGAACGTCCACTATTTGTGGGAATCATCAACTGGCTGAAAAACTGATACCAAATAATCAACGCTGAATCTTGACGTTTCATTTGCTATTGAGACACTGCACCGACAACTTGAAAGGTCTCCAAATCTTCATCATAGTCTTTCAGTGCTTCAGCCACTTCAGTGACGTGCAATTCTTTGGCAGAAGCATTTTTAAAGAGGCCCAAAATTAATGTACCTGAATAAATGATTAGGGGTCCTGGGCCACCCGGAACCCCCAACCCTCCCCCTCCCCCCATTGCCACGACACCGCCTCCCTATCTAATAATAGCTAATATCTGGGAATGACACTGAACCAGTATGGAAATTTTAGTTTAGCTAGAGAAGAGTGAAAAAAAGTTGGGCTTAAGGCACTTTATAAACTAAGAAAAGAGATGGGTGATAACTTTAGAGAAAATATTATGCTGACAATTAAGCTATTCGATGCTCTGATATCCCCCATACTTCTTTAAGGAAATGAAATTTGGGGTGTTGACTGTAACGACCAAATAGAAAAAGATCCCGCAGAATTAGTTCAAATTAAGTGCTAGGTGTAAATAAATACTGCAGCAACAATGCATGTAGGGCTGAAACAGGAAGATTCCCAATAAAAATCGAAGCACAATATAGGAATTTTAAGTTTTGGATAACTCTAATCAAACACCCAAAACACCAATTATCACAGTTGGTTTATAATGATATGAAGTAAAGGATGAATAAGGAATTATGGAGCCAAAAAATCAAACGCGTATTAGACCAAATAGGGCTGGGATACCTCTGGACAAAAGCACATGAAAATGACATAGGAATCTTGAACATTATCAAACAAAGACTGAAAGACATCGAATTACAAAGATGGTTAAGTGACGTAAACAATGACGTAAGAAAAGACGCCAACCAAAAGAACAAACTAAGAACCTTGCGAAAATTTAAAACAATAGAAAATTATAAATATAAAGATTATCTCCGTCAGGTCACCAACATCCGACACCGGATAGTTCTAACTAAACTCCGTCTAAGTAATCACAAATTGGCGATAGAGACAGGTCGGTATGTAAGACCTTATAACAAATCGGAAGAGAGGATCTGTCCTATCTGTAAAAAAGACGTAGAAGAAGAAATACACTTTTTAACTCTGTGGCCTGCGTATCAAGAAAAAAGAAGTACTTTATTTGAATACTTAAACAAAGACTACAGAATATAAGAATTCTGTTGTTAATAAACCCTCTAAGCAAGAACAAACCAGTGCAAAAGTTATTTGCAAAATACGTATTCGACTGCTATGAGTAAAGAAGATCATTAGTTCTTTAGGTTAACATTGATTATAGTTCCACTAGTGTGCAATTGTGTTATGATTTTTAATTATTTGGATAAAGTCGATGTATATACTGTAGGACTGTATAAGACTCCAAATAAAGCATTGTCTTGTCTTGTCTTGTCTTGTCTAATAATTTCTAATTATCTGTCTCAGATGTTATTCACAGTCTCGATATTGGTATATTTTACCCGCTGTTTTCATTTATGCCGGTCCGAGTAAGTAAACGGTTTGATAAGCGAACGATGGAAGGCAAACAATCTTCTGAAGGTAAATACCGCAGTTTTTTGGCGAATTCGAAAATTTTTCATCGAAGACAGAAAAATTTCAGTGAAAACACTGACAAAGAGATCTCTGCATCATCGCCAAAAACTACCTCGTCATATTATGGTTAACATTCAAAATGTTTTCTGGCGTCGTTTCCAGCGTGATTATGAGGTACGACAGGTGTCATCACTTGAACTAAAGAACACCACTCTCATACCTTGGCCTCCAGCATAAATTCTCTTCTTAAAGCTTTTCTGTTATCTGACCGAATGCGACGGAACGTATTGCGTACAGCCTTTACTTTACTTGGAGAGTTTTACAATCAAGAAGATTTTTGAAAAATATGCCTCTAGGTAGCAACTAGTAAGGGCAACTGTTAAGACATGAAAATTTACACTTTTGACTTAGGGTTTTCACACAAAACGCGATTCTAATTGTAGCGTTGTTGTCTTGCGGCTTTATTGGCTTTAGCAACACTAACCAAATTTTGCCGGATCATCGCTCCTGAATAGTGGAAACCATGTACCCAAACAATAAACTGTCTAGCTTCTTCTACTGGATCTCCTTATGAGAACTTCATTCAAAGCTTACCTTGTCAGTTGGCGAGAGCGAAAGTCCTCGGCGTTGTTAAAACAGAGCCAAATTGAGTTGTTTATTACACTCAAGGAACGAGGAAATTTTGTTAACAGCAAGAGTCAATGACCGAAACATGATTAAATATTCAAAGACTAAAGGCCGGCTGCAAATGCATCCTGCATGTTTCTACAACCGCATGTCAATATCGCAATGTTTGAACCCTCTGGATCGACCTTGATCAACTACACTCTTTTTTTAAATTTTATCCGCTTTAGATATTAAAATATTCAACGTACCGGAGAACAATTATTCTTTTTGTCAGTTTTTTGTATTCAGGTGTTCAAGGATGCCAATAAATCAGTTAAATTCGACAGGTCTTAGGAGAAACGACATGATAT